AAGAAGAAAAAATCTCGAGATGTTCACATGCAAGATTATTCTCTGATGGCAAAAGTAAAGTAGCAAAAACTGTTTTGAGAACCATTATTGATAAGGTTGCTATGTATATGTGCAATCTGAAGAAAACTTACCCCCTTAACCATTTCAACACCTTCTTTCTTTCCAAGAAGTAGCAAACCTTTTGCTATGGCACAATCCACACTAAAACAGTTTACTATCGTTTTTGAAAGCCTTAGCAGTGATCGAATAAAAATTTACTCCACGGATTTTACGTCCTTCTTCAAAGTCTGCAATCTCTGCAAATCTTCAATATGATTTGCTATACCAGTGAACAACAAATATGAGTAGTGCTCGTTTGAAGAAAGCATTTTCATACATCTTTCCATAAGATCTATATCCTAGAAATGGTGATTTTTTTGAAGTGAAAAAATAGTGCTAGAAATACCTGCGACTGAATCACAAGCAGGCAAAACATCTCCAACAATTGTCCCATATCTACTACTTTCTCAGCAAATCGATGACGGGTATCCTTCTCTAGAAGTAAGCCCATAGCCTGCAGTGTTTCCCCGTAAGAGGCTACCACTTCGGGAAAAGGATCCTTGATCTAAAATTGACAGGTGTAAAGCAAAATCAGGTAGCTGAAATTCTGACTGGGTCCTAGGAGCCTCTGGGTAAGCCATTGCTAAGTAACAGCTCATATTATTCAAATTTGTTCAAAAAAAAAGTCTGAACTGTATTTCAGGCGTACCAAAAAGACTAATAAGCACTTAGCCTCCTCTCCTCAAGCACCTGCGGTAATAAGTACGGTGTTCACAACTGATTCCCCGGATCAAGAGCTGTTGCCATGCAATGGCCTACTTAAAGCCTTTAGTATCCACATAAGCAACCCAGGTTACCGGTTTCACACACTGTTTGTAGGAATGTGGATAAAGTATTATGCTTGCCTACAAAAAGGATGAGGTACCTTCGATGCCAGAACAATAAATTGCTCCACAAGATGAGGAACAGTTTCTGGACTCTTCGTGGCTAACCGCTTCGCCATATCCAATACACAAGTAAACATTCCAGGAATAGGATCTGAAAAAATAAGTAAAACAATTAATTTTGGCAGTTCAACTTTCAAACAGTAGTTGCGGTTTTAGTCTTGCAACAAAATCAGAATGCTATCCCACAAAAAAATCGTAATAGTGTACTTCGAACTGAAGTTTCCGTAAAAACCTACTCTGGGACAAAGTAGAAAATATGGTCTCAAGTAACTCCTCATAAGACGATTTGTCGTAAACAGCAGCACATAACATGGGAAAGTCTCCGATAGCTGTAAAATGACAAAGTTCAATATCGTTTAATTTTGAACAGCAATATGACTATCACAAAACTCACAAATCTCAGATTTTTCCTTGATGATGGTCCGAAGGGAAACCCACTTTGTCTCAGCAAGAGTTGTTATAAGATTGAGGAAGCTTGGTCTGCAAAAGCGATATTCGAAGATTGAAAAATTGAAAAGTTACCGTAAAACTGTACAATCAATTATCGCCGAAACCTACCTAACACTCTCGTGTAACAACCTTCCCCAAGACGCTCTGACTAGTTCTGTACTCTTCGCCAGTGCTTCATCAGAAAGTGGTACAATTCTCAAATAAACCTGAAAATTAATTCTCTGTGAATTTTTGGCTTCAGTAATTTATGGTTTACCGAAGCACAGATGTGCAAGGCTGTAAGTGCTTCATTTGGTGCCGTCTCTCTAGCAGCATCTAACGAAGCGAAGAGTGACGATTGGAATCGAGACAGAACATTGTCTAAAATGGGCAAATTTCTTAAAAATGAGCAAAAAAATTGG